ATTACGATCATGGTCAAAATTTTAGAGGTATATGGAGAGGGGCTACGGTAGGAGATATGAGATTGTCAAGATACCTTAAATTTAAGAAACCATGATTTAAGATGAACTTGGGTGGGGGATACAAGAGGATTAGAGTGGGACATTGTCTCTAAATCAACTAGAAGTTTTGTGGTAATTCTTCTTAGGGTACACGAATGCACTCAGGAAGCTCAACATAAACAAATTATTGTAGGAAATTACCGAACAATTTTTCCTAGCAATGCCAACCTAGTTAAAAGGTATTACTATAGTTAAAGTTTCAAGACTATCATTTTAAGTTTGATGTTCAAGTATCCCAAGTTTTATGGCATCTGAGGATATCCACCATGCTTATACAATACCAATTTTTATAAGAGAATTTTGTTAAGCCCATTCTTGGTATTATAAAGGCATGGAAAGGGTTGTGATGTCTTTCCATTATGGTTATAGGAATATTAGTTTTGGACTGTAGTAGATAAGGTATACCAAGAGAAAAGCCTATTTGACAATGTTTCCTATGAAAGTTACCAAATCCTCAAACTCTAGTAAAAGCCTATTTGAAAATTTGCTCGCCCACTTACCACTTTCAGTATCTTCCTCGACACAACTAGAAATTGTCTCATGATCATTTTTTGTTTTTTTTTTTGGTTTTTTTTTTAAATTAGTTTATTTATTTTAATAAATTAAAATAATAAAAATAAAATAATTAAGTTTGTTTTTTTTTTAAATTAGTTTATTTATTTTAATAAATTAAAATAATAAAAATAAAATAATTAAGTTTGAAATTAAATAGTATAACAAAAATATTATAAATATTTGAACAAAAAAAAATAATGTAAAATTTGGATTTTTATCTGATTTTTTATTAATTTTTAAATATCTTATTCTCATATATTTTATTCTTTCGTATTTTATTAAAACAAACTACCTTTAATACACTTTTAAATTAGGAAAGTTTTAATAAATTTTTAAAATTTTAAATAAAATATAATCTTAAATTATTGGATTAAATCTTATTATTAAATATATTTAAAATATTGGATGTTCTTTTTTAAAAAATTTTAAATCAAATATAATCTTATTGGATTAAATCTTATTATTAAATATATTAAAAAATTTGGATGTTTTTTTAAAATTTTAAATCAAATATAATCTTAAATTATTTGATTAAATCTTATTATTAAATATATTAAAAATATTAGATGTTTGTAATTTATATTATTAGTGATGGCCCCACTTATAATGGTTAATTTTTTAAATAATAATAATAATAATAATAAATTCTTAACACCTAATTTTAAAAATTAAATAAAGATTTAAAATAAATTTCAATTTAAGTTAAAAAGAATTTTCGGAATCGATAAAATTTCATTAAAAAAATAGTATATTTGACTAAAATAAATTATATACCTTAAAAAAACAATATTTTATTTTTTTTAATATTAAAAAAATCAAATTAAAATTTTTTAAATTACTTTAACTCCTTAAATTATTTTATATATTTAATGTATACGTTAATATGAAAAAAAAATATATATCTCAAATTGATTCAAAATAAGAAAAAATTAGTTTTTAAAATAGAAAATATTAGATTCTTTTTTAGTTTTTTTAAGTTATAAATACACAAATAACCATTAATTTTTCCCATCCCATTCAAGGTAGCTTACCTCTCCTTTCTTCTTTAGTTCAATTAAATTCACTAACCAACAACTTTTTGTAGTCGACTAAGATGGCTCATCGTCAAGGCAACAAAATTTCCGAAATTGTCGAACTCGTACCCGATGTCATCGAGTTAATAGTCAACAAACTCCCTTCCTATTGTTTGCCGAGCTGTAGGCTGGTCTGTAAAACCTGGAACAATGTGATCTTAAGTTCTAAGCATCACCCTTCAATCTCGGCTGCTTCCAACTTCTTTCTTGCACATGTTTATTCAGAGAGCCGTGATCGTCCCAATTCGCATCACTTTCGTAATCTCCATTGCTTGGAATCGGATCCCGACCATGTGGAAGGGGTGAGGAGTGTTGCTTCATTCAACTTGAAGCGTAAGTATTTTAAGCGTTCTTTTATCTCAATTATCAATTCGTGCAATGGACTCTTGGCTTTCGTAGTCACTAAAAAGACAAATAGCTGGCTTAGCCCGAATAGTGTCGTGATATTAAATCCTATTACGAATGAGTACTTCGAACTCCCCAAAGACAAATACAAAGGGAATTGGTTTACTTGCTGCTATGGATTTGGGTTTTGTCCGAAAACAAAACAATACAAAGTGGTAAGAAGCTCTACTGTTCGTGATAGAAACTCCATCATCCATAACTACAAAACAGAGATTTTTGCATTTGGGACCCGGCCGGAATGGACGCGGATTGAGTCACCAACTTGTTCTTTTAATGGATGTCATGGTGTTTACTTAAACGGAGGTCTGCATTGGATTGGCCAAAATAATCTTGGTCCCGATGTCATTTATCGTCTAAATATGGAAGATGAGAAATACGAGCAGATTCCTTTTCCTAATGATGACGGTTATTTTCCTTATATTGGAATATTTAATGGTGCCATTCATTTAACTCTTTCTATGGAGGGGTACAAGTATAGGGTGTGGAAGATGAAGGAAGATGGTTCGTGGATTAAAGCATTTAGTGTCATCGTACCATATGTCAATAAATATATACTTTCCTTCTCAAAATCGACAGTGGAACCGATTAAAATATGTAAAGATGGAAAGATCTTGTGTCTTTGGGCTGGAGCTGAATTAGTGTTGTATAATCCCACCACCAAGAAGATGGAGAAGTTAATAGATGATACAACTGCCAGAGATTTTTCGGTTCACAACATTGAATGCTTTAATTTTAACGTTCTTCTTGATATTTTAACAGGAAACTTTTGAGAATAATTTGTTGTATTAATTGAGATTGAGATTGAAATATTTTAACAGGAAACTTCTAAGATTGAAATTGAGATTGAGATTTATTTTAATTATAAGTTTTATAGTTTTGATTATAAGTTTAGAATTTAGTTTTGATTATAAGTTTGAGGAGTTGTATTACATTTGGTTTAATTTGATATAATAAAAATAAAATCATTTACTGAGACTAATTATTTAAAATTAAACTATAATAAAAATATTATAAATATGGTAACAAAAATAATATTTATCTTATAAATATGATAACAAAAAAATAAATATAAATAAAATTTATGTGTGAAATTTTGAAATAAATTATTTGATTTTTTTTTAAGGTATTTTAGATATTTTGTTTTTATACTTCTTATTCTTAAATATCTTAAATAAAATATTTATTAAAATATTTTTGATTATCTTATTTCAAATGAATATATTAAAAAATGACGCTCATTTTTTTTATCGGAGTATTTAACGGCGCTAGTAGTACGAGTAGTAGAAAACGAAGGAGAATGGTTTATAATTAAAACATTTATTTTTAGTTTCTAATAAAAATAAATAAATAAAAAATGATTGAAAATATTCCTTAACTCAAAAATAATTCTTATAAAAATATAGATTATAATAAATTAATAATAATTTTTTAAAATTATTTTATTAATTTTATTTTTATTAAATAAAATAAGAGTACTTATCAAAATTTGCTTAAAATAAATATTAGTGGATTTAGTTTTAATATTATATTTAATGAATAATGGTGTATTGTATTAAAAAAAAATTGTAATTAGATATTGGTCGAGACCGCAATTTTGTAACCGCAAAAGATCGTGCTAGGTGAGCTTTCTCGTAACCGCAATTTTGTAAGACATCGACCTATTTTAACTATTAAAATTGATCATGCTTGGTTCTTAACCCTAAGTGAGCATGCACTTATCTTTATTATAGATTTTAACGTCTATCTCGTTTTATGACGTTGAAAATAACCTATAACATGCATCTAACATGCTTTATATAACAATTTATATCTATCACTCATGGAACTCTAAACATGCATACTATACATTATAACACTTATAACGTACTTGGAATGCATAAAACATGCTTAGCCTATGGTGGAATTTTAAATCTATATGACATACTTCATGCATATACATTTTCTATTTAATTTAAAACATACATTCATAATGCATATTTAATTAAACACGCTAAAGTGGATTGGTTTTGGCATTTTAAAACAAGCAATTAACTAAATTATTACATTAATAATTAAAATAACTTGAACCGCGCCCAAGGATCACGAACTGAGCGAACCAACCCTTAAAAATGTTGAACCGGACCCCAAAGGCAGAAAAAACATCCAAACCGCCTCTTCCATCTTCTTCTTCGATTCAGCTTGCTATCTCTTCCATTTTCGATCAATTACAACCTAAAATGAAATCTAATGACTCCATAAAAATTACAGATCTTTCTTCATGCATTAAAGCCTATATACATTAGGCTTATTACAATAATTGTATCAAATGGAAGCATAAAAAAATATCAAAACCAAAACTATCCACTTTAGCAACCACAAAATTTCATTCATGAAATGGTACCCACCATGATCAAATTAATGTAAATAAAGTGTCTAAAACATGCTCTGATACTAATGGATGATGTTAATATAACACACGCGTAAACAATTTGGATCTTAGGCACTTTTAGAACATTAATTATAGTAAATAACTAGCATGTTCATAAGTATTAAAACTTAATGAGTTTGAATACTAACCTTTTGTAGTTCAAATTCCTTTTTCTCACGAACCGGTTTCGAACCACCACTAGTGTCTTCTCCACTATCCTCCGACCTTAGAACAGGATTGTGGAATCCGGTGAGTGACTAAACTTGGGAGAGATTTTGTATATATGAAGAGAGTGTTTATCTCAAGATTTTCCACCAAGAAGACCTTTCATGCACTATGATCACTCTATTTATGTAACACCCGCTCAGCGTCAACGCGATTCACAGGAGTTACCACTGACCTCGATAATAAACTTCGACAACCAATGATAAATTTCAAAAGATATTTCCAAAAACATCAAGTAAAACATTTAAAACCAGTGCTATTTAAACTTAAAACAACCGAAGTAAATTCTTGACAGCGAAAGCATAAGTACACAAAACAGACACAGACATGGATTCCCAAATAGTCTCTAGCCCGCTAGTCTCGTCCTCGTCCTCGGTTGGCCTGCATCAACTAAATCTGGAGAGAAAAGTTAAAAATAATTTTCATAAGTAATTAAATTACCCGGTAAGTAGCCAACTTTATCTTTCATGAATTCATAACTAATCTTTCCAGGTGTTTTTAAATTGTATTCGTCATTGACTCCTAGTTTCTCTTACTAGGGTCATCTGTTCATTAATGAGGTATCTCAGCTACCTCCAGCTTAGCATAGTAAATGTTTTTAAGTTTTATTCGTCATTGACTCCTAGTTTCTCTTACTAGGGTCATCTATTCATTAATGAGGTATCTCAGCTACCTCCAGCTTAGGTTACTGACTCTCTTTTGATATGCTTATCTAGAATTTTCGGACTCATATGTAAGACTCGCTCTCGGTCAAATACGGCCCGTCTACTAATTTCTCTGGCGGCCTGTTTATCTCATATACCAACGGTCAGGAGTACTCATGCTCCCTGACTTAGCACACAGCGCGTTGGCCAGGAACTCCGCGGGAATTAGTAGACTATCATACTCATATAAATAAGTCATAGCTCAACCGCCAATAAGCATATCCTAGAGTCATAACCTTTCCATTAACATGCATAACATACTCATAGTTACTGCATGCTTTCATACATGTATTATGTTCAACACATAGAACATTCTCGCAATCATTTATATCATGCTTACATCACAGGCAAGCAGTCACAATATACAATAAACACTCAATATCATCAAAGCTCATCATAATATACTAAGCTCTTAATCAAGTAAACAACATACTCACATGTTGTAAAACAAGTTAAGAACTAGTTCAAAGATCGATATGCTACTTACCTGGTTTCGAATCCCTTTCTCTCTTGAATGTACATTTAATAGGGTATTTCAACATAATTCCTTCCAATTAGACCTATATTTCACCATTTTCAAGGTAAGTATAGGTCAATCTAGGTAGAACAGGTCAAAACGAATCGAACGGGACAAACCGGGAACCGAAATGATGCTTCACGCACCCTCACATCCTCGGTGTGTCTGTCCCACGCGCCAGGAGCACGCCCAGTCGCGGCTCCTCACGCGCCTGCGTGTAGTGCACGCGCTTCTTCTTCTTCCTTGCGTTTTCTGAAATTTTCTCATCTTTTCTGTTAATACCTACTATATCTCGAAGCCATATCCTCCTTCTACAATTCGAATTTCATCCTGATTCCTTCTACAAATTTATAGATCTCCTTATTACGATTCTAACAAGCCCTATTTCATAACTTATTATACAATATGAACCAAGATATTGAGATTTAAAGGTTCGGTGATATGGATTTTTCGTTACCTTTGCAACAACCGCTTAAATCAGCTTAGTTCAGAGCTTCAATGGCTGAAAAGCCTTCACAATCGTCTCCCCATCCTCAGGTTTGCACGTTGTCACAACAAACGCCAAAGAACCTTAAGGTTTTGCCTTTTTCTCTGTTTCTTCGATATTATTTGGTGCATCCTCGTCGGCCTTGCCAACGCCAACCACCATCCATAACACTAACACAAAATAAAACCACCATTCTTCATCCCACACCTCCATCTTCCTCTCTTTTCTTTCTTTTCCCTTCAATCCACCTGTCCATTCTTCCTTTCTCCATGGCAGCAGCTTCAAGCTGCTGCTGTCTTTTTTATTTTTATTTTTTATAATTAATTAATTAATTTATTATTTTCGGATTATTACAATTTATAGTGTAATGTTTGCATGTCAAGGTTTTCCACCAAGAAGACTTTCATGCACGATGATCACTCTATTTATAGAGTCATGTTTGCATGTTCATGCAAATTTGAGATCACCAAATTTTGACACTCAAAATTCCACTCAAACTTGTGGGGTTTATTTGGCAAGCATGCAAGTTTGGTTAAATAAAATTTTGACACCTCAAAATTCCACTAACATGTATTTTTCCATTAAATGAAGTCAACGTCATTTTAATTCAACAATTAATTTGAATAATTAATTTCAAATTAAGGTAACATTAAATGATTAATTAAACTATTTAATTAATATTTAATATTAACTCAAAAGTCAATCCCAATCAATTATTAAAATATTTAAGACTTATTTAAATATCTCAAATTCTCTCTTTTTGTTTAATTCGTAAATAAAACAAAAATGAGGTTAAATATATCGTATATATGTAGTGCATATTCCATAATTTGAATTCGAACACTTCGAACTCACTCGTCACACTGTTCTATTGTTTAGTCCGATATGAGCTAGCAGAGGGACCTAATGGACCTATAGATCATGGCTCCAACGATCCAAGATTAACCGATTAAACTCATTAACCTTGTTAATCAACAACACTCGTTAACTACTAAGACACTCCACTATAGCCTAGTAGTTGCACTCCCCTCACTATAGATATATTTCTGTCCATTTGATATAACCATGATTAGTAAGTCGATCCTTCACAGGTTGTTCGTAGCTAAAGTTGGGTCAATTAGCC